TATTAACTGTGGAATCATGGCTTTTTGACCTTTTTACCCTTCATTAATTAATTAATAACCATTTTGTCCCTCATTCAAAACTATCTACCAATCTACCCCTCTTTAATCGATTAAGTTGAATATTTAATCGATTAAATGGTTAAAACTGGAAAAAAATGGTTGACTTGAAGATTTAATCGATTAAATCTTCAACTTAATCGATTAAATCTCCAACGAGCAACAAAGAAAAACATATTGTTAGACGAAAGTGGCGTCTGGGGTGAGAAACACTGACACTGACTATAACACCTCGTAAATCTAAATATGAAATTATATGCTATAATGTGGGTTTAAAGGGAAGGATTAGTGAAAATCCAGAAATTAAGGCCAAACTGTGTGAAAAGGGCAAAATGGTAAAATTACCAAACACGTATCCCTAGGCATGAGAAATGGAGTAGGAGATCTCAAATGATAAAAATAATGCCGGAAATGGATTCAGGACGAAAAATCGAGTGAATAGGCAAGTTTTGAAAAATTTGATGAATAATGATTTTTCCGGTGTAAAATACTGCGGTATAATTGTACCGTTACGCGTGAAATTATAATCATGATTTTTATGAAGTAAAAATATGACGTGAACGAGAAAAATATGTAGGCTGTGAAATTGTAGTTGAAATTAATGTTTGAATTAAAGTTAAATCGCGTGTGGGACCCGCCCCATCAAAACCACTTAATCCACTCACCTTTTTCTCCTCACCCACGACACTCTTTCTCTTTTTCTCTCTCTTTCCTCTCTTCTTCCTCTTTCTCCCGTGCGCCTCCATGGAAGCATAGGGCAAGAAATTCTCTTGCCCTTTTCCACACAAATGAACCACCAAATAAAAAATATTCCAACATCAAAGTTGTTTGCATTGAGATTGTGAGTATGTTTCCCTTCTTGAGAGAGTCATGAAAGTGAGAGTGTGATGAGATCTTTTTCCACCTTCCTTGGGCGAATTTGAGGTGTTTGGGGAGCTTTGGTGATGCTTTGGCTTGAGGGGAGGCTTGATTATCACTCCTTAGACCATTTGCAAGCTATTGGTGGTAAGAATTCTTGTTCCCCCTTGAAGTTTCATGGTAATTAGAGCTGGCAAAATGGGCCGAGCCCGCCGGGCCGGCCCGCCCCGCCCGCCAAACGGGGCGGGGCGGGCTGAGTTTTCTAAACCCGTTGCCCGCCAAGCCCGCCCGGGCTGATTTTTTTTTTTTTTTTAAATTTTAGTGTAAAATGTGACGGGCTTGGCGGGAAGCCCGCCCCGCCCGCCCAAACGGGGCGGGGCGGGCAGAGATATCTAGCCCACCTTCAATGGCGGGGCGGGGCGGGCCAGCCCGCTTTTTGGCGGGCAGGGGCGGGCAGCCCGCTTTGCCACCTCTAATGGTAATCATAAAAATTGGTTTGGGTTTTGATGAAGTGTGTTGAATGGGGGTAGTTAGGAACCTTTAATGGTGTTGTCCCTTTGTAATTTATTGCTCTTGATGATGTATAGTGGTGATTTATGCAATAAAATTTATGGTGATATTGGATTTTGTAACTTAGTGAAATTGGTGAAAATTGATGAAAATGGGGGATGTGAACATGAATTGCAATGGTTGAGAATGATTGATTGTGTGTTGGTATATGTAAATAATAGGATTATATGATGAGTATAAGTGTTGAATTGGATTGAGAACCTTGTTGGATGGTTCCTTGTAATTTTCGAACCATGTAGTGGGAAGGAAGAATTGAAGTGAAAATATGGTTTTAATCAATGGTTGATACATGGTTAGATGATGTAAAAATGATATAGTTGATGTTATATGATCGTGATTGGAGTTTAAATGAATGGTAGGTTGGTTTGAGGTAGTGAAATTGAAAGGAGGAATGTTGGATGTGTTGTGTGTGTGAGATTTCAACCATATTGAAGGAAATAAGGAAAATGATGTGAAAATGTGGTATAACCAATGAGTGATGCCTTAGTGCATAAATGGTGATTTAGTTTAATGACTAAAATGGTTGAAGTAATTGGATTAAATGTAGTTGGCCATTAGGCCTAAGTTGTTTTGTTGAGAATTATTGTATTTGAAAGTGAATTGGTTGTCTTGAAATTGTATTGATGATCACGTTGATTGATCATTATAGGTTTCCTCTCTCGGACTCACAGAGGAGAGTTAAGCTTGGAGCTTACGTTGTGGAGCATTGGCTTCAGAGTTGAGGTAAACCTTTGGAACTTGGCTTTTATTCCCTCGTGTGTTCCACCACACTTAGTGGAAGGTTGTGGTTGGATTTAATGCCTTTGATTATGTATAAATGCATGTTCATGCATTATTGACATGATTGTGTGACATGCTTGGAGCATGTTGTGTGATATAATTGTGATCTCTGGCCAGTAAATGTGTGTTGGTTTGGACTTCCGCTGGAGATATCCTTTGGGGATTCCGGTCGGGTTTTGCCGTGGAACCGACTCTGGGAGCGGTTCAAGGATGATCCAAACGTGGGACTTCCGCTGGATAGGGCTCATGAGGAGTTCCAGTTGGGTTTTGCCATGGGGTCGTCTCAACCATGGGAGAGGCACCAGGAAGATTCCGGGAGTTATATGATGGGGTCCTTTAAGGGAATCCTGATGTGGATGTCCTTGGATTTGTGCCCAGTTGTTGTGTGATATTTGTATGTTATGCATTTTATATGATGATCACTGTATGCACATTGAGTGAGCCATGGGGTGGAGTGATCTTCTAGTACCCTTGGTTTACTGAGATATATTTGTATATCTCACCCCGCGTTTGGGGACATCATTTCAGGTCATGTTGAGCATGGTGGATCTCCGGGCAAGAGGCCCGCTTAGTGGAGGAGTAGAGCGTGAGGTGCATTTGGAGAGTATGACATATTGAAGGATTCCATTTGATGTACATAGCATAGTAATTAATATTTTGGACTTAGGTTATGAACTTGTTGCATGTGGATATTGCCATGCTCTTGTATATTTATGACTATGTGTTAGGTCCTTTAAAATTGATGTATAGTTATGCCTCTTGTTGATTTTTGTATTTTGAGTGAGCATGAGACTTGTCCATGGCCACATAATAGTATTTTGAGGCATTGAAAGACTTGAGTTGTAAATAGACCATTGGTTGTGTAAAATGGCTATGATATTGCAAATGGTTGTAATGATGCATTGATTAATGAATATGCATGATGGAAGGGCTTAGAGCCTACATTAGTACCTGTGTAAGGTGTATATTAAGTATCAAGGTGTTAGGAGTATGTTACATCACTCATTTTGTGTCTTTAAAGCTGTCATCTGTCATTTTTACTGCAGAGTAATCGATTACCCTTCATTGGTAATCGATTACTTGAAACAGAGGACGAAAATTTGAGCCACTGTGACCAAAGTAATCGATTACCAGAGATTGGTAATCGATTACCTAGTTCAGGAATCGACTACCAATATCTGGTAATCGATTACCAGAAAACAGGGGAGCCCACATTAAGGTTCTGACTTCTACAGTAACCTCTAGTAATCGATTACCTCAAGGATGGTAATCGATTACCACTGTGTTGAATTTTGAAAATGTGTTTTCTAAAATCTAAAATGAATGGTATTGCTTAGAGAGTTTATGTTGGGTATATTTTATGCTTCCGCGAGCTTTGTATTTACAATTATGGCGTTGTTTTAATTGATTACGGAAATGGTTAATGTTTAAAGCAAAGAATGTAAGAAAAGAAAAAGTTTACCCGTAATTTAATTAACTCAATTACTATGATTGTAACTGCGCTTAATACCATATGCAATGATTACATTTTCGGTACGTAACAGGCTGTTACACTGACACAAAAAAATGGTCTGCTATTACTGTTCAACGATCAGAATTCTCAAGCAATTTACACTACTTCAAAACACGACTCTTATCAGGATATACCTTTCAATTCTCAAATTGAATCAAACAAATACTGTGTTAAATAAAAATAATCCAAAAATCATCGAAGCTTTCGGTTAACGATAATGGCATTAATTAAAGCAAGAAAGGAAAATTCATTTTAATACAGAGAAGAAAGATAAAAGTGACAGAGGCTGAAAAAGTTGAGAGACGGAGGCTGAGAAACGATGCAAACAAAAAGGAAAAAGATTAAAATGTGAAAACAATGGCTAAGAAGTAGAACAGGAAACAAGAGGAACGCACCCCAAATGCCACACCACAACTCAATATGCTTTTCTTTGTTGCTTGATGGAGATTTAATCGATTAAGTTGAATATTTAATCGATTAAATCTTCAAATCAACTATTTTTATCAGTTTTGACTATTTAATCGATTAAATCTTTAACTTAATCGATTTAAGAGGGGCAAATTGATAGATAGTTTTAAACGAGGGACAAAATAATTATTAATTAATTAATGAAGAGTAAAATGGTCAAAAAGCCGTGGAATCTTGCTTCTTAAACACATTGGAACTCATAAAAAAGTATGGTAATAATTTATTTTTAATTGAAACAGAATAATAATTTTGTCCGTGTTGTGTTGCCCATCTCGTAAATATCATGTATGTGTGGTGTTGTCCAAGCTTTGTAAATTGACTTTCTGACCATTATATAAACATTCCAATCGATAAGTAATCAAACAACAAAAAATAATGTTTTTATTAACACATCTTCTTAAAAAAAATTGTATTATTAAGTTAGACTTATTTTTAAATAATTATTGTTAATTTAAGTTAAATAATTAAGTAAAACTTATCACTTTTCGAGCATATTTAGTTACAAAGAATAGAAGATGTGTAAATTGTTTTATGAATATAAGATGTAAATACAAATGGCATATTAAATGTACCAAAAAAAATATTAGATAAATAAAAACGTATAATGCTTTAAAAAATTAATTAATACTTTTATTTAAGTAATTAAAAAGTTATGAAAAAATAATTAAGAAAACATAGAAATGATTGAATTCGAACTAATGTCACTAACTAATTATCAAATTAACTAACAGAAACGAACACAAAGCATAGAACTTGGAGTGAGAAAATCCCCAAAAAAAAAGTAACTCAAACCCGCGCTATTCTCCCGCTTCACAATTTTCAATTTTCCGCCAATGGATTCGGCCATGTCTACGGAAGAACACGACGAATGGGAGCTCCGACATGACGACGGATTCGTCTACAAATGCAAGAAGCGCCGCCTCCACCCGCCACCGTCTTCGACGGACACCGACGAGGCCGAGGAGTGGCGGAGAGAGCGCAAGAAGCGAACCCTGTTGAAGCTTAAAGCCAAGTACCAGAGTGAGATCCTTCAGTGGGACACTTTGTCAAACACCTTGCGCGCAATGCACAAGGGTGCGCTTCGGCTTCAACAGGAACGCGAACGGGTGCCGGAGCGAACCCCTTCGCTCGCTTATCCTTGGGAAACGATAAAGGGTGCGGATTCTGATGGTGGGTCATTGGTTGATGAGCTTCTTTTGCAGGTAATTGAATTTGGAACTTGGTTCTTTGCGATTGTGTGGTTGTAATCTTAGTGGGGTTTAGGTGAATGTCGAAAAGAAGGAGAATTGGAAAATGGGTCTTTGGATTTTCGTTGTTTAGAGTTCGCTTCTTCTTCTTTTTCTTTTTTTCTTTTTAATTGGCATGATAACATTATTATCAATTTTTTTTTTTGTTCTTTGATTCTGTTGTCAGAAACCCAGCAATAGTTTCAGGTTTTGTGGATAATTTTTCAGCTGAGTTCCTCTTTCCTACCTGATTCTTTCTTTTTCTTGAGAAACACCGAGGGAAAATCAATTACTCTCCTGGGATAATAATTGGCATCAGTGTCTCTGATAAGTGATAACTACTTCTCAGAATAGATGGACTCTATTCACTTTGAGCAATTGCTAATCAATTTTTAAGGCCTTTGTTTAAAACAGTGCCTGAAGATGTTTAAAACATGCAAATGCAGAATGCAGCTACCATGATTTCAGCTCCCAGTCGATAGGAGTGGTGATTCACTTGCAGAAGATTAGCATCAATAAATTTAGATTTCTCACTGTAGCTGATTACCTTGGTTTGCCATTTCTTAAGATTGCTTTGTTGAGTTTGCGCTGTGTTTGGTTAGAAGCAGTGTTGTACCTTAAGACGAGTTGTCTCAATATGCTGAATCCCTTGGCCTTAAAAAATAAAGAATTTTTAGCTTCCATATATGGTGTGTGCTGAAAATCTAGATTCTATACCTCAAGATGGTGACTAGTTGTCTCAAGATGCTGAATCCCTTGGCCTTTCGATCAGTTTTTATCAGGATACTTATCATAAGCTTAGTTTCCCTAATTTAGTGCTTAGGAAAGAGGTCAGAAATAAATTCCAGTAGGTATGAAATAAACATCAAGATTGTTGCATAGCTATGTTCTTCTCAAGCTAAGAAAAAGTCAGAGTTTAGTGTATGAAAATTAGAACTTGTTTTATTCAGCACTTAGCTTATTAACTACCACATGCAATAATCTATATTTGATACTTTTTTGCTCTTGTAGTAGTCTAACATCCTTTGCATACTTCTAGGCTGATATCCTAGTGATAGGGCTCATGTCAGCTTACTCCTGATTTTTATATGTCAACCATACAGGTGGAAGTCCAGGAAGCAATAATTCGTGATGTTTCAAATTTATGTGATGTAGCAGAATCAATGTGCATTAAACAAGAAGAAGAATTTAAGCAACTATTGTTTAATCTTCCAATCTGGGCTTCACCTCATGAGATCATGGAATTGCTATGCAATGATTGAGCAAGTTTTCTCTGCACGTTGTCCTCTTGGTAATGAATATGAAATTTAAAGGAAGCACTTCCACTATTTAACTACTAGTCTACTGGTGATCTTGACCAGTTTCCTTAATTGTAATTCTGTAAGATTATCATGCTCTACACTGATGCCAATTAGGCTCACCTTTTGTAGATTGGTAAATATCTTTAGATTATTTGTATTTAAGGGTTATGCACTTGGAATGAGCATGTGATGAATGATGAATAGATACAGAACAATGAACTCAAAAGTGAGAAGAAAGTCTCTCAAAAATCTTCAGTGAAGCAAAAAGATTAATGTTGTTTGCGATATTAGTATATAGTTCATTAACTTTTAGAATCTAATGCCATGATGTGATTTTGCTGGCTTTGTTTCGAATGATAAGACATTGCTTTATTTTATTTTGTCTAAGCTTCCATATTAGTGGATGACTTGGTCATGCTATGCTCGAAGATGTGATGTTATAATTTCAATGAGGAGACCTAAAAAGTGGTTTAAAATCTTATAAAGGCGTATGGTTTAACAACTCCCCCCCCCCCCCCCCGCTCACAAACTTGTTAGAGTTTAATTGATGTGGCATCAAAAGTAAATAAATAAAGTAAAAATTAAGTAAAAATACTATTGGGGACAATTAAGTAAAAATACTATGCAATTTATAACTTCAACAATATCTTAATCCTAAATAAGAGAAAATATATATAAATTAAATAAATAAATATAGGGAACAAAGATTAAAAATAATCATTAAGAACCTAAAAAAAATGGGTTTATCTCTGAGGTCTCTAGGTAATCCTAAGGAGATTTGAGTTATGAATAATAACCTTGATGTTATGTATTTATGTTGAGATAGATCTTTGGCCAGTAGATAGATATATGTTTACAGTCACTTTCCTTGGAACCTGACAACTTGGGATTAGATATCTAAGGAAACAAATGGGTTTTCTTGAAAGTGAACTGTACATATGGACTTTCCTTAGAATAAGCATAATTCTTTGGGGTTTGATTCCTATGAGACACTATCTTTAGTACCTCTCATGAAAGGACCATAGTGTATGGACTTCTCGTTGAGCTAATCTGACGGGGAACTCTTTGGGGGCAGATACCTAAGAGCCACAAACAGAGTGGAACTCTCTTGGAAGTTCCATATAACAGAATAGAATAGAAGGAACTTCTCTAGGAAAGCATTCGGGACATCCTTGGGGTACAGACACCTAAGAGCCACTAAAAGGTGGAACTCTCTTGGAAGTTCCACGGAATAAGTTATAAGGGTTCATGTTTTCTCATGTTGCATGAAAACATGAGAGAATAAAAGTAGAGACAAATTAAATGTGGGTCCCATATTTTATATTAAAAAAGAAAAGAAAAATTAATTGGCACGGAAAACGAATTTGTGTAGGAAATTTTTTTGGTCTCCTATTGCATGAGAGCATGATTTCCCAAGTTATAATATATGTTTGATATGTAGAAATGGATGCATGCATGCTTTGCTTCCCTTAGAGCAAGCCCTACGAGGAACTCCTCGTGATATATTGACCTAGGAACCAGCCCAATGTGGAACTCTGGATGGTTAATATCAAAGAGGAATAGCCCTATATGGTTATCTCTTGGAAGTAATTGTGTCTATGGACTTTCTTTAGAGCCAGCTTTATGAGGAACTCCTTGTATGGTATTTCCTAAGAGACACCCATATGTGGACCTCTGTACAGAAACATCAAAGAGAAACGGCCCTTGTAGATTTCTCTTGAAAGTTCATACAACTTGAGATGAGATGAGATAAGATGAAATGAGACAAGATGAGATAAAATGAAATAAGACGATGTATTATATACTATGTTATATTGATGTGAGAATGTAGTTACCTTCCTTGGAGCGAGCCCTTGAGGAACTCCTTGGGATCAGATATCTAAGAGGCTCAGTCCCCTCTTGAAAGTAACTGCATTTATGGACTTTTCTTGGAGTGAACCCTTGAGGAACTCCTTGAGGCTTAATGCCTAGGAGACACATGTTTCTCTTGAAAGGACCATATTATAGGGACTTCCCTTGGAGTTAGCCTTCGAGACCTCTTTGTGGTCAGATACCTAAGAGACCTAACAGAGATCTCTTGGAAGTTCCCTGTGAGTTGAGATAATGTATGAGAGTAAAAGTATGTAGCATGAAAGGGACTTCCCTTGGAGCTAGTCTTCGAGACCTCCTTGTGGTCAGATACCTAGGAGACATAATAGAGATCTCTTGGAAGTTCCATATGATATGATGTACGTATGCTATGCTCATTTTACTATTTATGCACTTGAAGTGAACTATAGGGTGGAATGATCCTCGATGGACCTTAGTTTACTGAGATTTTTATCTCACCCCGTGTTTAGGGAATCACATTTCAGGTACCTTCACATATGGAGAAAGAGCAGTAAGTGGCAAGGAGCCTGTATATATTTTATGGCATAGCGTGTAGATTTGATTACCTTTTTATGTATAAATGCATATGTAATCAGATTTTGAGTATTCACATGAGAATGTACATTTTGAGGCTTAGATGATGGCTATGTATATTTTGCATAATTCTAATGACGTATATTTGTTTAGAGAACAATGTATGTGGATTATGTAATTTTAATGTTAATTACATTCATGTTCAAGAGACTAAGATGATGTAATTGGGCATTTATGTTGATATGTAAGCTATGGAAATGAGATATTGACAAGGATGAATGATATATTGTGAAAAGGTGTATGAATATGAAGATTAATATCTTGCTTGAGATGCAAGGATGTAGATGAAAGCCTAAGCAAGTAGATGCTAGATGATTTATGAGATATGACGAATGGTCAATTAGGTACCACTAAGTTTGGGAGACATCCCTAAACACCATAGGACAACCAAGTGCTGCCAAATTTTTATCCTGGCTATCAAGGATTACATTGACTCTTTTGAAAAGTAGCGAACAAGAAAGTCTTATGTTCAGGGAATGGGAGCGCCCATTCAGGGAACATCTTATGTATAGAGCACGTCACTTGGGAACGAGAACGTCAATTGTTCCAGAAATAGAAAAGTAATTTTAACACCATGTTAGCTTGCGGGGCTTCATGGTAATGATATTAAGTTAGTGTAATATGTTTCCGCATAAAGTAAGAGTTGCAATTAAGTATTTGATTTATGTGAATACGAATTAATGTTTAAAGAGAAAGTAAAAAAGAAAAAGTTTTATCCGTAAATTTAATTCAATTACTGTGATTGTAACTGTACTTAATATCATATGCAATGTTAACAAATAGGATGCATACGGGATGTTATACCTATCCTACCATATGTACATAACCTTGATCTCATCTCTTGTCATAGCAAACTCACACTTTATATATTATGTCATACTCTGACTTAACATAAATCATTTAGACTCTAACTTCTCCATAATTCTAATTTTTAGTTAAACATCAACTTTAATTTCATCAATAAGCATAATATGATATGCAAAGAGCATATAACATGGCACATCGTCTTGAATATTGTTTGTTAATTCATCCATAACTATGGCAACAAGGGATGTTTTTGCACGACAAAAATCCATAGTTAGTTTATTGGGTTTAATTTTTATCATGTTGTAAGAGATAATTACATCTCCTACACACATATAAAAGTGTGTGAGACCTTTTTTTTCTCTCTCTCTCTTATCTTCATATTATCCCATATGAGCCCCACACACTTTTATATGTATATAGAAGATAAAATTATCTCCTACAATTCCTAGTTTATTAGGTAACAATTTGTAGCCAAACTCTTTGTTTTTTTTTTTTTACTTCATGTGAAATTACTTTCTTTTTAGGTTTTTTTATCTTGATAATTTGTGATCTGTTAGACAGAATATAAACTTGTCTTTCATTCCTATATGTTTTTTGGTTCACAATTAATATATTTTATTTCTCTTAAATGATAAGATCATATCTTAAATGATAAGATCATATCCATGTAATTGAAGGTACTTTTATAATTATTTATACTAGTCATTTTTTCTTTCTTTTTTTCATTTGCCTTTTAATCTTACTATCTGAAATAATTAAATTTCGGAAGCTAAGATTTTTGTAAGTTCCGAATCTGCTAGCCATTTAAACACAATTATTGATATGATGGACCGATTATGACTTTTAATGCCTCTCCTCCATTTTTTCTCTTGATTTTGAAACTTCGTTCTTCCTCTTTAATTCTTATATTTGTCACTATCGTTCAAAATGTAACTATCAATAAAGATTTGAGAGAAGATAACTATCAATAAAGATTTGAGAAGATAATTTTCAATGAAATTATTAATATTACTATTCCAACTAGTTTATTCTTAAACTTGTACCTTTTCCCATTTTACCTACCCACCAAAGTGTCTTTAAACCGGTGTTTAAGACCTGGTTCTAGCATGATAGTTCAACTTAGTTTGAAGCCGGTGTTTTAGGTTTGAGTGTTTGAAAATTAGATTCAGTATATTTTTTAGCAGGGTTCAAGTAATTTTTTGAGTTGTCCTTTTTTTTATACATATTTCGAGTTGTCTTAATTTAGCTTTGTCTCTCACGATATTTTAAAATTTAATGTTTATGATAAAATTAATTATTGAGTCCAATTAATATTTTTTTACATAATATGATATATTTTAGGAATAGATTATTCTACCTATCTCTTTTTTTGTCTATATTTACTTATCACTATCCAACATCATTAGATTAGAATCTCAACTACCTTTATCATTTCTCTCTCCTATTGAGATTGAGATTCTGATCTAATAGTGTTGGAGAGTAGTAGGCAAAGGTAAGCAGAAAAAAGACGTAGGTAAAATAACCTATCCCATATTTTTATATTGATATCGAACATGCTGGGTAGGAACGTTGATGTATCTCTTGAAGCAATGTCGGATCCAAGACAGAGAGTTGTAGGTTCGCTGTCGATTCTCCCTAAATTTTGATTTTTTAGTATTATACATATAATGATGATATTTTTTAATAATAATAGATTATTAGTCCTTATAATTAGCCCTTTATGCTAATCTTAATAACATTTATAACTTTGATATTTATTTTCGTCTCCTATTGTGAATTAAAAGGTAGAACTAGTTGCCCTGTATCCCACCACTTCATGACCTCTTTCTGCATGATTGGATTATGTCTTCTTTGTTGCTCAATGAAGTTGCTTTTTGGGTCTGGCAACAGAATCTCATGCATGCCTAAGGTTGGGCTA